CTATTACTATCTTAATTTGGTCCAAAAATTACAGTATAACAGTTATAAAGCGGATGCCTTCTTGCATGTAAAATGATTTTTAATGTTTCATTGAATAAATATTATAAATAACAACATAGCAACAGGTCAACAAATATCAAGCCCATACAAACAACACTCTTTTTATTAAAAGAATAATCGTTTTTCATGCCAGACCCCACCAAAGTTTTCTTCCTCTCGATTGATTGAGAGTAACCCCTTGTATAAATTTTTATTTTTATTTTTATTTAATTTAATGAGAAATCTGTATCAGGAGAGATTGATTTATCGGAAGAGATTAATATATCAGAACACGACAAATTATATTCATGTTGAGAAAAAGAAAAAAACTGTCACGGATTATTATAAAAAGGGAAGAGGGGGGGGGGTGCATGCTAATCAGCCCCCAGGGACCGTTCATGTTATCGGAGGGGAGCAAGACTCGAAAACGTTAGGGAAAATTGCATAGAAGTCGTACAAGAATCCTAAATATTAAAAGTTCCACAAAATGCAAAAATAATTTCAAAGTTCCGGTATGAAAATGGGAAGAGGAAGGCTCTCTGCAACTGGAAGCACGGGGATATCAAGGACAAATTTCTTCAGATCAAGAAAGGGCATCGGACTTTGCAGTGGAAGCATTTGAAGGAAAAGGAAAAGGAGTGCTTAGTGTTCGAAGTTGCCTAATTGCTTCATCATTGTTGTGATTTGCTGCTCAATCACCACCAAAGTCTTTCCCTTTTTCCATGGGATTCTCAGTCTTGGCTGGGTATTGTCCCATTCCTACGGTTTCTCCACGGAATTAATTGTTTTTATTTGTGATTTTGATTGCGGATTCTCTTCGCCTCTGCTCAATTATCCTTCTTGTTTTTACCCTTTTTTTTTTGCGTTGAAAAGGGTCGGAGATGAAAATTGCAATTGTGAAAGAAGGATTATGACTAATGAAAACAGTGGACGCCAATGAAAAGTGGGGAGAGGTTTTCCTTTTTCTTTTTACTTTTCAAAATAAGAGTGTTTTAATAAATGTATATCAATACTTGTTCACAATTAAAACCTTTGGAACTTCAGGGTTATTTTGCATTTCATGCGCTTTTTAATAATTAAAATTTGTGTGTGTGGACCCATATGTGATTTTTTCAAAAAAACTATTATACAGTATAAGTATAATTTTCCTGTACCTAGTCCAGCTATATAGTTAGTTGGCACTTGGACCGAAAAAATCCATTGAAAAAAAAATAAATATTTAATTCTTATAATTTTAATTTAGTTATAACTTAATCCTAAATTTTAATAATTATAATTTAATTTTTAAAGTTTTAATTCGATTATAAATTAATCTTTAAATTTTATATCATGTAATTTAATTTTTATAATTTTAACTTCTCAAATATTATCCTTATATTTTTAAAAATAAATTTATAAAGATTAAAAATGTTTTAAAATTTTAATATTTATAAATATTAAAATGGTTTAATAATTTAAAATATTAATAATAAATTTTAAAATATTTTTAATATTTATAATTTTATTTTTTAAAATATAATCACTAATATTTAACAGGTTAAATTTTAAGAATTACATTATAAGGGATAAAGTATAAGAATTGATTTATAACTAAATTAAAACTTTAAAAATTAAATTATAATAAATTAAAATTTAAAGATTGAATTATAATTAATTAAAAGTATAAGAGTCGAATGATTAATTTTTTTATTCATTAATAAGCTGTTAACACATAACATGTTGCCACGTGGATCAACAAAAATTAAATAATAAAACAGTGCTTTATCGTTTTCTTTTTATGTAAAATAAAATGCAAACAACCCAACGGCAGATATTGCTAGCACAAAATTTGAAGCAGAATTAGAAAATAACAATTATTTTGCAAAACACCCAGGCTTCGTTCGATGCAGGGAAAGATATTGGCCAAAAAAAAAAGGATGCAGGGAAATATAAAAGAAAACATAGAAAAGACAATACTAAAAAATTAAAAAATAATAATTTTTTATTTTTTTCAGAGGGTTCTCTCCTAGTAATTTTTCTTATATAACTTTTTTGTTATCTAAACCAAAAGTATGAATGAGATTCATTTCTTCATAATTTTCCTCAATAAATCAGTTGAGGAATATTCGCTTGGATGTGAAACTGCTGGTCATGATGATTATTCATTGACATTTTTAGGAATTTTAATTTTCATTGTATAAACAAATGTTTTCTTGGTAGAGAATTGCCCAATATTTATAGTTATATTGTTGTGTGGATTTGATATCTTTGGATTGTGGAAAGAAAACTTGCATAATCAATAGATATTGAATCTAACTAAAGATGCTAATCTTTCACAATATAATAAACTAATATTTAAATTCTCATTCAAAAAGTTACAAACATCTAGTACCTAATTGACAATTGTATATTGAATAAAATTACCTTCAATAAAAAAATACATTGAAGCAATAAAAAAAGAGAAAAAATTGCATAATACTCCCTCATCTTAAATTATAAGATACTTTTAATAAATAAAATTATGCATACCAATAAGATTAATTAAATAAATTTTATAATTTTATTTTCTTAAATAAAAATATAAACTTTCAGCAATACACTCCATTTAATATTTTATTTATAAAGAAATTCAGTGAAGAGAAATAATTGAAATGATAATATTAAAAAAATATTATTACTAAAACCTTATTTTTTCAAAAAATTTTATATTTTATGACATTAAATTCTCATCAAAATTTAAAGTGAATGGAGTATAATGTTCTGCATAGACTTATCGCCAGCTTACCCCGATTAACTAAGGATATATATTTGGATTTTCGTGCATTTCATCGCTTATTTATTGATGATATTGTTATTAACGAGTGGCGGACAGAGAAAATTTGGATCGTGGGAGCAAAATTTGTGACTAAATAAAAATCAATTTTAAAAAATGTTACTATAAATATTTAATTAATTGATATGAAAATAAATTTTGCTGGAGTTAAGTGCTGAGGATACAATACAAGAAATGAAGAATATATCATATTCTTCCTTCTTTAGCTCCCACAACAGCCCTTCTACCTTCCCACTGCGCAGCTGTGTTTTACTAACTTTTAATGTGCAAAAATACGCGCTTTACTCTCAACAAACTAAACGGTCAACTTTTTTTGGGTGTAACTATACGTTCAACTTTAAAATTTTATTTTTTGACCAAGAATAATAAGATGGAATTAAAACAACTTTAAAACTCACGTGTAAGGTATGAATTTTGAACATATAATATAATAAACTAAAAACAATATGTCAATTTAAGATGAATTGGTAATCTCAGGTGATTAAAAACCACCATGCTCTTTTTTCTCTTAAAAATAAAAACCCGTCTACTAACTTTCCCAATCCTAATCTCGGTAAAGGATAAGATTGTTGACGCTATATTTCACATAAAACAATGTTTTCATCCTTTACACAAAACAGATACAATGCGACTCACATAAAGTCCTGTGTTGAAAGGTCAATGAGTGCTATTCTATTATATTGAAACGTCATTTTTATTTTTTGTTTATTTTTTGGGTCATTCCAAGTTTCTGAAAATAAATAGCAGAAGCTGATTTTCTAACCTACCTATTAGCCATTAAATTAAATATATATAAATAACAGTTTTAATTTCATTATAGTTTTTTTAAATGCTCTTTTTAAAATCCCTCCAAAAATATTAAAAATATACTTAAATAATACTAAAATATATCTTTTACTACTCCCGTTCCAAATTACTCTATAAGATAACATTGGAGAAATTTGTTAAAAAAATACATGACAGTTTAAAAAAAAAGACTTTGTTAATGCTATTTTTTAATATTATATTTTAAGTGGATAAGAATTAAAATGATATTTTAACATAATGTTTAATATATAGAGATATTTTTAAAAAATTATAATTTTGTTTGAAAAAATAAACCCATAAAGTGTGATTATTATATATTATTAATATAATAATTTTATTTTAAGTTGTCTTATAATATAATACGGAGGGAAATTTTTTTTTATTTGGTACATGTTTCCTCATATTCACGACAACTGTCTTCCAATTAAATGAGGATTTTTTTTTTTTTATGGTAATAATTAAATGACGATTTTGAAATGCTGGGTGAGGGCAACGTGAATGGGCTTTTCATTGGAAAGTGGTTGGGCCCTCGTGTTTGGAGAATGAGCGAAGAGGTTAAGCGTAAGGCAAACGGACACGTAACATCTCCAATCATTACTCACTCACACGTGGCAGATAACTACTGATTCAATGACGTTTGCCGGACCTCTCCTAATTTCTTTCTTTGGTGCCATTTTTTGCTACCTTTCCTCCTTTCATAGTAACACCTTAACCAAAACGCGTTCGTTATGCATCATTATCTCAGGAGTCTCCCTTATCCCTAGTAACTAACTCCTCTTTCAATTCCACAGAATTACATTATGCATGCTCTTCTCTTCCTTTTTTTTTTTTTGTAAAAAAATTATTATTTCTCGACAGCAACAAAAATTACTCTATAATTTCAAACATTAATTAACTTAATATTTAAGAAATGATCAATATTCCACCCAATCGCCCAATGTTTATTTTTTCAGATTACATATATTTAGTATCAAGCTCAAATAAGATTATCATATCATGCAAACTGCAAACTGTAAAGTGCTGGCATTTCTTTTGGGTATAAGAAACTACAGGTAATTTTACTGGCCACAAAAAAAGATACAGGTTTTTTTGCCTTTAGCATTAAATATTTAATATTGAAATGAAATTGAGAGGGATAGTTCCTGAAAAAGAGAGTTCGTTAGGTTAATCAACAAGTGCCGAGTGATGTGTCCACGTAAGAGAACGCAGCGTGTCAGCAAATCCTTGACCATTTTTGTGGCGGTGGTTGCTGCCACCTGGATTCCTTCGCTTTTTCTTGTCTCCTTCTCCTTCTCCCCAATCAAAATATCTCTATATATTATATATAGACACAAACACGCTCACACAACGTGGTGCGTGTGTGTGTACATATTTAATTTTAATACCATCCCTCCATCTCTCTAACAAAGGAATCCCAGAAAAAAGTTTTTCTTTAGGCTCTTCTACCTATGTTGCGATCATATCAAAATGACAAACACTAGGTGGTTCAAGTTGATCATATCTCCCATGCCAAGAGTAGGTGAGTTCAAATATTTCTGCAACTCAATTCTTTTTTGTTTTTTTGTTTTTTTTTGGTTTGAGTTTCTCAGCTTTCTGATACTGATTATGAGAGCTTTTAAGACAATTCTCTCTTTGATTCCTTCCGTCCCTTGTTCGTTTCGTGTTTATGATTACTTGAGAGATAAGAAGTTCTTCACGTGTTATATATCCAGGTAGATCAAGGAAAGAGAGCGATGAAGATAGCTTGTGCAGGAAGCCAAACGTCAATGAAGAATACCAGGAAGCTTTCAGAACAAAATCTTACATGGAAATATGCAGCAAAGCACAGGGGCAGCTGGTAAACGCAAGCATCACCACAACACCTTCTTCTTCGCCATCTTCGTCTCTTCCTTATTCCTTGCATCTCACTGAACATTTGCTCGAACCCCAACAAGAGACCGTTACGAATATGACCCAAACCTTGAAGAGGCATCATCTTCTGTTGGAGTACTTCGAAGCTAGCTTGGAGGCATGCCATTACTGCGACACAATCCTTGAAGCAATCCTTCATATGCATGTTTCGTATAAGAAAATCACGAGGGTCCTGAAGCTGAGCAAGTTTATGCTTGATTGTCCAGACACAGACCGAACCCACAAGGCGATCTATAGAGATCTTGCTTCCTTCGCACGACAAAAGAACCCTTTTTCCATTATCAGCTCCTCTCAGTTCCGCGACATTCACAAAGCATACGCGGGGCTTCTGCACAGACTAAAATCAGAAGATCGGAAGATTCGAAGAAGAGGGAGATTTAAGAGAATTTGCAAGATGGTTGGAGGAGTTGGTCTTACCATCTTGCACGGTGCTATTCTGATTAGTTTGCTAATTTTTGCGTTGCATAGCATAGTTGGCACAGTGGCAGCACCCTGTATAGTAGTTGGCTTGGTAGGTTTATTCAGGAAAAGAATCAAGCGGGCTCTGGGTAGTGATTTTGGAAGACAGTGTGAGCAACTTGATATTGCTGCTAAAGGGGTTTATATGCTGATCAATGACTTCGATACCATGAGCAGGATGGTTAAAAGGTTACAAGAAGAAGTGGATCATCGGCAAGCAGTTGCTGATATGTGCGTTAAGAATGGCAAGTGTGAAATACTGAAGCAGGTTTTGAGGGAATTTCATGACCATGAGTCTAACTTTTTGGATCAGTTAGAAGAGCTTGAAGAACATATCTATTTGTGCTTTCTCACAATAAACAGATCCCGAAAACTTGTTCTTCAAGAAATTATGGAGAAACAATAGTTGAATAATTCCATACCTTTTGTCTCTGCTTTCACATTTCAAGGCCGAAGGAGGTAGCAGCAACGAGCATCTAGTCTAGTTCCAATTGAAACTAGTGATCAGCCAGAATGTACGGCTTCAGGACATCAAATTTTGGTGCTTATTCCCCTCAAGTGCCTGATCCTTTGGTCACACGGACGGAGTAAGGAGTGGTCTCCATTGCATTTAATAGTTGGTTTTGACCATTTTAGTTATGTGGTGAGTGATGAAAGATCAAATCGATTTTTCTTGTTTTGTCTTCTTATATTATAATATGACATATCTCTGAAATTACATCCAAAAATAAAATCTTAAATGTACAAAGCCAGAGCCAAGAAAGCTCCAAGCTAGAAATGCAAGCAGAAACCACGCTCCGCTCCCACCGCGGAAGCGAACGCTAAGCTCAGCGTAGCGATTTTTCTTAACAAAGCAAGTTTTGTAATCTTGCTTGCAAATAATAATAATAATAATAATAATAATAATAAGAATAATAATAAAAGCAAGTTTTAGAATCAAGAATTCATTATCTAACATTTCATGGAATAAGTTAAAATGTGTTTGAGTAAACAATTTTGTTTTCATATTTCTCTGGTGAGATTGCGTCTGTACCCCATGAGTCCATGACTAAATTTAAAATTCAAACGAAGAAAGGCGCAAGGAAAAAGCGGCTCCGAGCAACAGAGTTACAGAGCTTATAAATCACATCGTTGCTCATGAAATCAAGCCCATTCATGCAAGAATCCATTGAATAATTAGCAAATAACAAATTCAATCAACAAGTAGTTCTCTACCCTCCCGTAGCTATTGTTCCCACCTCTGACCATATACATTATCTCAAGAAGGTGATATGTATGCATTGCCGAAAGGCATATCATATATATGCTAATTGAAATCAAGCAATAGTACTGCTATCAGACCGGCAATGTTATATAGTAGTGAATGCTGGACTCTACGGGACAGCAAGAGCATAAAGTTGGAGTCAGAGATGAGAATGTTACGATGGATGTGCGGACTACACGTAAAGATAAAATCGAATGAGCACATACGTGAAAAAGTGATGGCCCTATTGAGGAAAAAATGGTAGAAAATCGGTTTGAGATGGTTTGGGCATGTACAAAGAAGACCAAGGGAGGCACCAGTGAGAAGAGTGGAACATATAACTTTGAGTCCGATTAAGAGAGGTAGAGGAAGGCCTAAGAGAACACTCTTGGAAGTTGTTGAACGTGATCTCTTGATTAATAATATTCTAAAAGCTTAATAAATAATAGAGCACAATGGCGTCTTGCAATCCATGTAGCCGACCCCACCTAGTGGGATAAAGGCTTGTTGTTGTTGTTGTTGTTGAAATCAAGCAATAGATATTCGTTTTAAATAACAGAAAATACACTAACAAAGTAAACCTAAAGGCTCCTTTGACGTGACACAAAACACAAGCTCTGCTGCTCTGGTATCATCCAACATGTAGCATGCATTTGGCGCCCCATCAATTGAGGGTAAAGAAATCTCGGAAGCACTAGGATAAGGCGCGAGACTTGTTTAGATTCTTAAGGTTCCATCGTGGGACAGACAAAAGATTCATGAGACTTGCCTCAACTTCTTGTACTCCTGAAGTCCCACGAGTGAAGCCTTGATCTTGAGCCAATCAGCAGGTTTTGGCATTATAATAGCAATATATCCTTCTCTATCTGCCTAGGTGTTGTTAAAAAAAAAAAAACATAAAACAATAAGATCGCCCAAAAGAGCTAATAGATTATTGCCAAGAAAAAAAAAAAAGCAAATGGAAAGATGAAATATGCAAAGCTTGGTGGTGCTAAATCACGATGAAGACAAGTCAGATGCAAAAACGAATATGCAATTAGAGAATACATAATGCCACTATTTGTTTATCTTAAAGAATCAACGGAAAGTATAAATTTTTTGCTTCAAGTAGTTGAAGTAAATAATTCTCAATTGAACTACTTGGAAATTTCCATCTTTTGCAATGAGAAAGGTTATCTATGTTATTTCGGCGTGACAGAATCCGCCTGAATAAGTTTTTACTTTTAAAAGATTTACACTTGGGGAGGACTACGCTGCTTCTTACCGAAGTATTAAGCAAATCTGGCTGCTTGATTAGTTGCTGATTTACTTCCAAAAGAGAGCCTTTGACACAACACCTTTGAAAAGACACCAAAAGCAAACTTAAACAACAAAAATATTTAAAGATAATTGCAAAAGGAAAACAGCCGAAAAGTATATATTATTCATTTACCAGACCCTAGATTATGAGCATTTATTACAATTTGAAAAGAAGTTTACCTTACTATATAAGAATCATTACAAGTAGAAATTTTACACAACGCTGTGTTGGACTCAAAATGTTGAGCATTCTGCACAAGGATGTAGTTCTTTTAATAATACAAAAGTAATTGAAACTTGTATGATTTACATCTTGACGGTATATTAGCACATGACATATATAAAGATCCTGCAAGTATATTACAATGATAAAACCATTCCAGTCATAAAATCTAAAAGTGATGGAGCAGAAGGCATGCTTGATGTCTCAAGAAGCAAGAATCAGCAACCCAAGCAATTCTTGACGGTTGAATAGAGTTTTTTTACACATAAAACATCAATTAGCACATTGATTGAATACAAACATCATAAATAGTAGAATGATGATAACACAGCAATGGTTGGTAAAAACTAGCAGATTGGTCAAATATAATTAACATTGGACTGACCTCATTTACTTCCATAGCATGGTCACATTTTAAAAGTGGATATGAGTAAATCTTTTAATGTCAAAGACCATGCAACGTACCCAAGCAGCTTAAGATATGCAAATGCAACAAATTAGCTCAAGTTACTTGAGTATACCACAGAATTGTGACTTTAATTTCACAAATCCGTTCATCAAAACAAGCAAACATAGCATTAAAAAACCAACTAGAAAGTGCTTCAAATTTATCCCAAACATTAAAATGCATTTATAAAATTGGCCGTGGCGTTTGCACCATCCTACGCATCTCCTCATGAAAGACCGCCTCAGTCCTTGTTTTACTTTCTTTATACAAGAGGCAAGTCTTAATATGAGCTATTCATCTACGAGTAAGATATAAACCAAAAAATAAAGGTTGAAAGGGGTATCCTAGTTGTAAGGTGCAAACTATTTATGCAAAGCATTCATATAATGACAATTCGTGTTTGTTGAGCATAATCAAAGACTGAAAGTTGCTTCATTTAGGATATCCGCGGATATAAATTCCAGACAATGGCTGGAGGGAACGAGAGAGAAAACATACCTTCTTCCGCTTTCCTGTGACCTTAACGCCGCTGCGATCAGACTTTCCAACATTAAAATCCACAGCTGTGATTCCACCTTCATCTTTGAAAGCAACGTGGGAAGGAGCCAAGCCGATCACACACAAGCTTTTAAGTCATTGTAAAAAAGAGGGGGGAGATTTGTTGTTATAACCCGGACGCAAAGCCGAATGCTGCTAAAAGGAGATAACAAAATAGAATTATACCCATTGGCGTGCCGGTAAACATACTGATCGTGTCCGGGCTTCATAAAATCTGGATATTAAAATTAGGCGAAAGAAAGACATTGAAGCAACATCCAAACAAAAAATTAGAGAGCGTTTTCCGCTGATACTTTTTAGCAGACGAGTAAAAACATACACGCAACAGGGAAAAGCTGAAGTACGTACGATAAAGTTCGATTTCAATAATATTCACATCACTCGATGGGGTTGAGGATTTATATAAGGTTATGCGCACGAATTGCTTTTAATATGGTTTCTACTAAGAGGAATAAGAAAAGTAAGGAAATACCTAAAGCAAAGTAAGTGACAAAGTTGGATTCAACGGCGGAAGGTGGAGTCTGGGGAAGACTGGATACGTCGGGCAGTAGAAGGGCGCGTAACTCTTCATCTAGTTCCTCTTGTTCATGATTCTGGGCTTTGCTTTCCGAACTGTTAGCTACGTCAATGCTCTGTTCCTCCGTCGACATCTAAATAACTCAAGAGTCAAGACACAGCTTGCCAATTGAGCTCCCAAAGACTGCAGTTCTAAAGCGTGCAAATATTGAATTGAGTTTGTGAAGTTGCGAGTCCCAGTCTCCTAAATGCTAAATAGCTCAAGCTTCGATTGGGCTTTCTATGAGAGTTTTGCTAGGCTCTCGGATTAAATAGCCCATTAAGGTATACTCAAATGACCCATTGCTAGGTAGCCCAAAGATGCATTCACAGGGACCTATCTCCAAAAGAACATCAGATCAGTTATAAAAAATTTATCGTCTTTAATTTAATTTTAATATTTTAAAAAGTCAGATCACTAAGTACGAAGTTCTTCCAGCAATAATTTTCTCCATACACGAAAGACCTTATTTAAAGAGCACAAGCGTTGAAAAATTGTTGATTCAATGATTATCTAGTTGCAAAAAGTTAATAGTTCCTGATGTCAATAGTTTTTGAGATTGAATGAAGATACTTGACACCGGATCAGGATACAATGGTGTGTGTGTTTTTACCTTTTTCGCCCCGCTTTGGGGGTGAGTGTGTGTGTGAGTGTGAGAGAGAGAGATGAATGAGTAGAAGAATAGGGTTATATGGCAGACACGAGTCTGAACGCAGCTGCTGAAGGCTACAAGTTCCACTTTCTCAGAGTTAGTCAGAATGCGTAATGCATCTGGATAAGGTTTTGCTGGAAACGAGCCCCATAGTGTCATGATTTTCACTTTTACTCTTTCTTTTTTTTAACCAAAAAAGAAAAATCACAGATGTCATATACTCGGTCTTACTGAAAAGGCCATGAAGAAAAATTCCAGAATTCCTGTTAGTTTTCTTCTTTTTGTCATCTCTTTTTGTCCCGGAACTCTATAGAAACTTGCCAGTAATACAATCCAAAAGATCTAAACTTATAACAAGAGTATTCATGTTACAACAAAATATATGGTATACTTGAGAAAGAAGCTTGTTTCTACAAGCTGCCCTTTTATTATCAGTGCACACAACCCATAAATCATACACGGAAGCTCCATGGGTTGAGGGGTTTGATCCGACCGACCGACCCAGATCACCACAAAAAAACAAAGAAACAAAGAAAGGGTGGCGGGCTGCTCCGATACAATAATATATAAGCACGCCTCTGCCGTTCTGGTCATGAAAATGAAGAACCCAGAACCCAGAAATAAGTGTCTATGTATATATATGTAAAGTTGGTGTAAGCTTTAGAACTGGACATGGCTAGAGAATGTCTGGCCAAAATTCCAAGAAGATGGAACCACATCTGGGAACAGTCTGGTTTCTCCATCACTGGTTGTACCTTGAATGACAAAGATTGACCATTCAAATACGCATTGGATTGCCAGTTAGCTCCCCAGTTTCTGGACATAGACATCCACCCAGTCTTGGAGCCTTTGATGGACACAGAAGAGATGGATCCAGCACCTGCCACGTTGCTGATCATTACCAGCTCAAAGTAGTCTCTTCCATTCACAGTGAACCTAACCCCTCCGTGCTTTTTACACGGAACCCTGCACCATACAGAGCATTAATTCCATCTCTCAAACATTCAAAACAATCACACCAAGACGTATAGTGATTACTGAGAATAATAATAATAACCTTTGGAACAGGACAGGGATAATCCCTCCTCTGTAAATGCCGATCTTTTCCCAAGCTGGTTGAGCCATGTCGAAGTGCTGCAAAGGTGGGTTGCACCAACCTCCATTGTTGTTTGGAAGAGCATAATTAGGAGGACAGAAATTTGTAGCAGCTATAGTTACTGATATTCCTTTCACGCACCATCTGGGGTCTGTCTTATAATCGCACATGATTTTGTAGCATTGCCCACAGGAAGCTCCATCGTTGAACAAGGCTGTGCTTAAAGCTGCGGTTCTTGTCCCGTACCCAGTTGAGTACAGATTCCCATACCCACAAGCTCCTCCTGCAAGAATAACTCATTCATATCAGATTTCATTCTTAATCATTGATCAACATTTCATTAAGCGAAACAAGAGTACGGATATTGTATAGCTTACTTACCCATGGTTCCTGAGGCATCGCTACCTCCATAGAAGGTGGCATGTCCTTTTGTCCACCCAGAAGGTGAGAAGGCAGAACCAGTGACTGTGAAATACCATAATCCCACCAGGCTGCTGATCAAGAGAAGCATTGCTTTCTCCATTTTCTTGCTTTGCTTAAGAGTGACAGCTAAGTGAGCGAGCTGAGAATATAATGAAGAAGAGACCAGGGTGGAAAGTTGAGCTTGTATTTACATGTATTGTCATTTCCAAGCTCGAAATGTGTCTCCTTAAATAAGAGATTAGATTCACTAAAGGCAGCGACGGTCACATGGGAGTTCTGCAACAAGAGAGAACTCAGAGACAATTTTCATTGATTAAAATTAAATTATCTCTGCGGAACTGTACAGAGTTCTGACCTTCATTCAATTATTCCCACGTTCTCTTCTATCACACCCCCTCCAAACCCACATGTCCATACCAACATTAGAGCCGTGAATGTATCAAAATCCACAAGCCCATTTGGTCCCCCTATTTTTTTTTCATCTTTTTTTTTTAAATTAAAGTCCTCGCCTGTTTTTGGTTCCATCTATTATTTCTGTTGATTTGTAGACCAATTGTTAATTAATTATAATGACAGCCAATAAGCAGCGTGTAATGTAGCTAAAGAAATAGTATAAAGATCGTAGTACCATACACGGTCACATGGGAGTATTTGACCCCATATGATATCAAGGTATTTTCAATACATTACCAACATGTGAGATGCCTTCCCTTGGCTATAGATCATCACGGGTTATGATATGCTGCAGCAGAACTCTCATGGGGTCTGGGGTGGCAAAACTGTGATCGCTGTTCGATTCATTGATTTTGATTGTGTTTGGAAGATCTGAGATTAGGCAGAGAGACCCAGGCTGGCATCTAATGTTTCCAAGAATAGGCGGCGGCTGGCAAGGGTCACCGTTCACACAAATTGGATGTGACTGCAGAAGATGCTGGGCATTCATTTGTCTTATTGATTAAATACAATACATAACATTTCTTCTCATCCAAGATTTGATCTAAACTTGCCATGCTTTGCTAATGTAGCACCGTCAAGAAACTCGGATTTAAGTTTCAATATTCATATTTCGTCACCAAGGTCCCCCTTATTGGACAGTCAATTCAAGATCCTCTTGACAACTGAAGCGTACAGTGAGGAGAGTTAAGACAAAAAATGAAAACCGTTTATCAATATAGACCTCATCGCATCTCTACAGCCTAATCGTTGAGGATTCACTTCACCTTGCGGATGTGCTTGTTATGTTGAGAACAAAAATTAGACGGGCTAAAACTATTTTTTTGGACCGAAGATGGTTGGTTACTTTGATTTGCAGATGACACGTTCTCATTTCCATCGTACATAATCTGCTCCCATTATTCTATTTGTCGAAGGGTCAGATATTATTTTTATTTTGTGATTATTTAATGAAAAAATAAACAATTAATGAAATCAAAATTGTAAATCTGCTAAATTAGTTACATCGCTTAAGACCCAAAAATGATTATATCGCTTGCTCTCAATTGAAAGATTCATGTGCGACCAACGCTGCCAATAATAGGTAGATTTCTTTAATGAACGCCCCTGAACCACAATGATACATTCTAAAGAGCTAGTCATTCTTCTCGCCGAAGTTCTAATTATTTAGTCCAGCATCGTGACAATACTAAAATAAGCAAAAATAACTTGTATTTTAATTTTCCAGTAAAAATCACCTTTTCCTTTTCCTTTTATTCAGTTATCAATGTTTCATCGAAACAGAAAGGTGCTAGATCAAGGAAATAGCCTGTTATAGCCACTAGATTAGGCGGAGATCTCCATCTCGAACTTAGCTATCAATGATTCCTGCATTACTAATAATATAGGAGATAGACCTAAATTCCAACATCTAACCAACCAAAAATAAAAAAAAAAAACTTATTTTTACAAACTTAATATATTTGTTTCCAATTAACTTAAGACACATGGATGTTTTATAAATTATTTATTATATAACAAATTATTATTAATATTATTAACACATTAAAATTTACTTGTTATGATTTGATCTGATATAAGTATATCAAGTTAATAATACTAAATATATAAGGCTCGCCCAAAATAAAAAAATACTCTTGCAAACTCATTCAACATCACGCATCCTTGTTCTCACTATGCCCCCACGAAATATATTAAATCTCAATAATGCCACATGAAGATTGGAGCAAATTGAATCAAGTTTCAGATACCTTCAACCTCACAGAGCAAAAGCGAACAGATAATCATAGTTTATCACCATGAATAGAAGCAAAACAGAGAAGTTTTCAACATTTGCCAGATCAACCAAGGACAGAATTCCATCTTCTATGTTAATAGAAATTATGGACCTCGTCCGAGGGAGAAATAAGAGCAGAGTTAGAAATGAATACCCTGACAACAACTGAGATGACTAGAACACGATCATTCTCAGAAATCATCATCCTCCTCCTCTTGAATGTGCTTAGCTAGTTCTTGCTCCTGCTGCTGCCTTTCTCTTCGCTTCTCAGCGCTTTCCTTCTCATTGTGTGTGTTTGGCGGGAAACGCAGCGCACGGATGGCCTCATTATGCATGTTGAGACAGAAGGCAATACGAGAATTAAAAGCCAATTGAGGCTCAGTAGTGGAGTATACATCTCCCGTTTCCTTAGATACCATACACCCATTACCATGGTCCAATGTTGCATCAATTGCACCATCTCTGATGGCCTTGGCTACAATGCTCTCAGCATCTGAAACGGGATTTGCAGAGTTTAACCTTAATTTTTGTGCCACATCAGCAAGCGAGATACGAGAATAAGAAATGCTAATGTTCCGTAAACCAGTCCTGATGACATTGTGACGCAACCTAACAATCAAATTATGAGTTCCATCAGCACTAAAAGTAGTAGCGAACTTATCTGCAACATTCCTAAATAGCTCCAGGTCTCCAATTCGAACAGCCTGAAATTCCACAAAATTGATCAAACACTACTGCATTTAGGATGTTCAATAAAATTGAGTGAAGCTAAAATAACACCCCAACAACAATAACAACAACAACAACAAGCCTTTATCCCACTAGGTGGGGTCGGCTACATGGATTGCAAGACGCCATTGTGCTCTATCATTTATCAAGCTTTTAGGAATATTATAAATTAAGAGATCGCGTTCAACAACTTCCAAGAGTGTTCTCTTAGGCCTTCCTCTACCTCTCTTAATCGGACTCAAAGTTATATGTTCCACTCTTCTCACTGGTGCCTCCCTTGGTCTTCTTTGTACATGCCCACACCATCTCAACCGATTTTCTACCATTTTTTCCTTAATAGGTGCCACCCTAACTTTTTCGCGTACGTGCTCAATTCGAATTTTATCTTTACGTGTATGTCCGCACATCCATCGTAATATTCTCATCTCTGCTACTCCAACTTTATGCTCTTGCTGTCCCGTTAGAGCCCAGCATTCACTAAAGGAGTTATTTGTGATCGTAAGGTGCCTAATAAACTTAAAGGAAAGTTTTATCGCACTGCTATCAGACCGGCAATGTTATATAGTAGTGCTAGGCCCTAAAATAACACCCAAAAAAAAAAACCAGTTCACCTAACTTAAATTAACAATTAGAGAACCAAATTGCTCAAACAAAGTAAACAGGTGGACGACATTGCTCTTCATTAAAAAGGCAATTGCATTTTCTTCTTTTTTTTGGGGGGGGGGGGGGATTGCATCTAAACATAAATGACAGTTGCAAATGTAGGGGTAGAAATAGATTGACATGGATGAACTTGCAAATTAGTATCACAACTGATGACATATCTAAACAGAGCATAAATTTGAGTATTTTATATGGACCATCATTAACTAAGGAATCCTTCTCTAGAGATTTTATCAAAGGCCCTCACCTTTATATAATAGAAGGATATATGATAACTGCATGCCAAGTCCAAAGTTTAATGAATATACATTACTTTTAGCATCCCCCTCAACAAAGAGACAGCCCGTAAAATATAGACATATAAGTTAACAGAGACAGATTTTGCCAATTACAAGAAAAATTTGACAAAATTAACTACTTCATGATGGGTTAGTTATACTGAATCAACTAAGAAAGGAAAACGCAAGCTAAGAAAATCATACACATATATTTACGAGATTATTGTTTGATTAGATGCAGTAAAGTTCCTCAGATGTTTGTCAGAGTTCTATACTATAAACAACTACACGTGGATATGTACATTTTTTTTTTTGTGAGAACACATGTATGGAATAGTTCAACATTCAACAAAGTTACTCCATGTTACATTTTAAATGAAAAACCATATAGTAAAAACACAACTCTACCAAAGTTTTTTGCTCAACCTAATTAATGAAATAACGAGACTTGATCTGGATTTAAGCTTCAAACAGTGAACCACATGACTTCTAAAAAGACAAACTAAGTTCCTCCTCAACAGAATTCATCTAAAATTTAAAGAGTAGAACAAAATTGCTCTGGCTTCTCATAATTTATCAATTTGCAATATCCAATAAGTTTATCACAACCTCAATGCAGCAGAAATAATGATAAATAATTGTTTTTTAAAAAACTTGAGGGTAGTGACTATGGTCGATAATTACCAGAAGAGATCATTTTTGGAAGATATTTCACTTATTTCATAAACCAAAGTATTATAATTAAAATATCACAGGCAAACCCGAAAAAGTAAAGGTAACAATCTGGGTACCCAACGAGTTACATTTTACAGAGATGATGTAACAGACTCCTCATTATAAAAACAGCCATTAAGAGGCACGAGATTAAACCAATGATATTAAAAGCACATAGATAATGTAAAAAATGACTTCATTTAACAATGTTGACTCACATTTGTAAGGTCAAAGTACGGCCTCAAAGCTTTCTCCATTCCTTTTTGCATGAACATGGTCCTCTCAGGTATTTCTCCCAACAGCAAACGCACCATTACAGCCCACTTATTACACTGAATACGAAAACCAAGCGCTGCTACTGGAGCTTTTCGAGCAGCTTGTAGGAGAGACTCTTTTGCATCAGTGTACTCCAACTGAATTGTCCGAATTTTCCCCAGATAGAAGAGATATCGACAGAACTTGAAACAAAATACAACCAAAGGTAAAAACCTTGGTGAAATATAAATTTAAGAAAACAAAGATTGTTTTAGACTTTGAAAAATAATAATTTAGACTAGATGAACACACCAAATCAAAATCATTAAAAAGGCTGACTTTGCAGAAATAGTCACAAAAGAGTTTTCAGCACAGGCATTGAAAGGAGATTGTATTCATTGGAGATAAGAAATTCTTCAGTGGTAACCAGAAAAACAGAACCACCATACCTGCTGGTTTGAATGTGCTTCAAATCGTGGTGCCTTAGACCTCAACTTCTCCGCCTGATCATACAGGTTGTAGTGGAGGTAGTTACGAAGTAACAAATTAAGAAGTGTTTCCTGCATCCCATCATCATGTCAGTACAAGATCTTAAGCCTTGTGAAAGAACTTCTAATTTATCTGAAACAAACCTGACCAAGCTCATCATGGCGAAGGGTGGCAATCCGGTGCAATGCAAGAAGGTTACTGAAAATAGAAACACAATTCAGTTTGGAATTAGATAAATCTCACTCAATTTTTACAAATTTCATTTAGTTATGAGAAAAAACAAAAAAGATTTGGATTTAGTGAGAGGCAATTCAATAGAACGCAATGAGTCCACCCCAATTGTCTGTTTGCAAATTACAATTAATAAAACACAACGTTTTAATTCTTACACTTTTCAGCACAAGATAAAATCTTACCACCTCTTACCGAATCCAAATCCAAAATATCTAGCCATCTACCTCAGCATTTTATTTGTCGATTGCATATATATGCACCAAACTCACCCCCGAATTTCTGCAAGATCTCCAGTGAGTTCATGAATATATGAATAATAAAAGCACAATCTGGATGCGATAACATCAACAGTTCTTCTGTTAAGGTTCTTCACCCGGGCAATGCCTGCTGAGGAACAAGCTTTGGCCTAAAAAATATAAATAAATAAAGCAACTTCAGCATTTAACAAGCAGTAGGAATACATTTTATAAAATAAATTAAGTACGTGGGAGTAAGGGACCAAACCTCCTTATATTTCTTCTGATCAATCAGAAAAAGTAGAACGAGCAAGTAACAGTACATCTCTATCTCAGGCAATAAGTGCTTAGCTGAGGGTTGAACAATAGATGTTGCCGTTTCTACTTCCATCTCATGAGAATCTTCCTAAACAGACCATGACAAAAAGATTATAAATTAAAGAACATGTTTTATTAAAAAATAGAAGTAAACAGTATAATATTTACCAGGAAGAGAGAGAGAATACAGCAATAATATGATGATTGACCTTCTAAAAGTTCAGATTCTTATATCAATTAAAAAATATTTTTTTCAACATATTTGCAATGGATATCCCAAAAAAAAAAAAAAATAATGCCCTTTGCTTATACTGAAGCCTAAGTGCCTAACACCCAGCTAAACCATTTGATACAGTCATAAAATAAAAAAATTTTGTTAGAATTTAGAAGTTACATGACCATTACCAGAGGCAAGGCACATACTTATAACTTGAAAAGAACAGTAGTATCAACAAGAGTCAATATCTACCTCACAATGCTTGTCCTGGAAAGGAAATTAGTCTCTTTAATACAATTAAATCAAGTCAAGGATGGTCTTTCAGAGTGAGCCCCGTAGGCATATGTGAAAAACGCTACCTATGAATTATCGAGAGGCACGCTAATTAGTCTCTTCAATAGAATTAAATCAAGTCAAGGATGGTCTTTCAGAGTGAGCCCCGTAAGCATATGAGAAAAACGCCACCTAACGAATTACAAGAGGCATGCTACCCAATGCAATTTAATCACGATTTAGGTTTGGTAGAAAGATTTCATTTAAAATCTGAAAGCAAGGAAATGACTTCTGCCACTCAGGATAACAGAAGTTTATAATTCTGACCTCTATTATATTTGCAATTTAATCAGGATTTAGTGTTGATAGAAATATTTCGTTGCTTTGATTTTTTTGGAGGACAGACATGCTAAATCTCATGTATAGATACCAAAGTATAACAGCAGATACCCCAAAGATTTCTCACACGCGTTATCGCTGAATATAACACAATGTAAAAGATGTGCATGTTAACCTCGGGAAGATAGACAGACAATCTGGCGTGAGGTTCAGAACCCGGACAAGCAACATAATCGATAAAAGATAAGAGCACCGATGCTGTCAATTTGCGCCTCAACGCAATTGTAAGGCGAACAGCACGAGCAATTCTACGAACCTCCTTAAAGTACGAACCGGTCTCAATAAGGGATGCTATCTCCTTCAAATCTGAAGCGACAAATTCAAAAGGGAAAAAAACCAAAAGATTTTTCAGAGAAAAAAAATGTCGAAGTGTAAAATCGCTTGAAGTGATCTGACGAAAGAATTCATACGCTGCAGAGTAGATGGAACAGCTGAAGAAACAGAATGCGAAGGGGTTGTGTGATCTTTCATCTCAACATCTTGAGTCATTTTGAAAAATTATCAACGAAATAGTCACCTGACACTTTTATTTCCCTGGAGTATCTCAGAGCATAAAAAACAAAACTCTTATGGTAAACTTAAAGGAATGAGTGGAGTGAGTATAATATATAGAAGGAGGAAAAGAGAATTGAACTGCAAGCACCTCACAGGTCCAGATCCAGTCAGGTGAAGAGAGGCAGTTTAGGGTTTCAGCAACTCTTCCTTCTGATTCTATGTATCATTCTTTTCTTTTTCTCCAAGTCAAGACTTACGACCATACAAACTCCAGCATGAAAAATATCGAAGCTGAATACACTTCTGGATGTCCTAGCTACCCTAACCAGCAACCTGCGCCAAAACAAGCACTACTTGAAATACCCCACCCAAAAGAAGAAAAAAAAAAATAAAGGAACTATTTAAAATGGTTTTTATTTTATTATTCTAAAAGCTAATATTTTATAAAAATATATTTTGAGAATAAAAAAATAATAAAAATATATTTTTTTTCATCATTCCTTAATTTTTAAAACAATAATTTTAAAATATCTGAAATTTATTTTTATTTTTTTATTCTTTAAAATAATATTTTATTTTTTATTCTCTAAAATACTTTTTAAAATCACATTATTAAATAAATTTTTTTATTTTTTTATTTTGAAAAATAAAAAATTACTCCTAAAACAAGTTATCAAATAAGCCCAAAGTCTCGCGAAACATTTTTTACTTTTAAGATATTTTTAATTTGAGGAGCGGGGAGAGGTTTTAATCAACTTTGTTTGGTTTAAAAAAGAAAGGGAGGAAAGGAAAATAAAAAATAAGTTAATAATTTTATTTTTATCAAATTTAACATAACTTTTATTTTTTGGTTTAAAAAAATCATTATATTAGAATTTATTAAGTTTTTATTTTAAAATATAAACTTATATTAATAAAAAAATTTGAAGAACAAATTATATTTTATCAATGAGTCTAATAAAAAATGTTGACAAAAAAATATTAATTTAAAAACAAAAAATTACTTTGTTGAAAAATATTAAAATTTTATATATAAAAAATATATATTAATTTTTGTAAGATAATAAAATTTATTTTATTATAAAAGAGAAAGAAAAATATAATACACAATCTTTTAATATCTAAAGCAGTTTAAGATTTTTAAAATAAATATTTAAATTTATTTTAATTATTTTTTCTCTTACTTTCATACCAAAAAACCTAAGGTTATTTGATTGGAGGGGAGAGAACTCCCTAATTTAGGAGAGGGAGGTTTTGAAAAATTTTCCTCCCCTCCACTTTACTAAATAAAAGAAGGGGATAGAAGAAGAGTTATTTGGTAAAGTGATAAATTTTTCCTTCCCTCCCACACTCTAAAATTGGAACAAAGAGCTCCCTTTCCTCCCCTCTAATTTTGTTAACTAAATAAAGGAAGGAAAGCAACTTGTCCTTAAAAATTTTTAACCAAACACACTCTTAACTACATGAAAAGGAGGCAAGTATCTAGTTAGTGCAAATACAATAATATTCATAATATTACTGCTAAAAACAACAATTAAAACTCCCTAAATACTTTATGGTTTTTTTATAAAAACTTAAGATATTAAGTGGACATTTATATCTTTGAGTTGCCCTGATATCTTTCAATTATTCTAATATCATTCAATTATTAATATTTTATGTATTTTATTTACTCTAGTTCGTTACATTTATGTTTATAAATAAGAGGTAATTTAATTGTATTCAACACATTGAAATTATCTCCTTTCTCACTCTCTAAATATTCCCTCTTTTTAATATTTCTCTTCTCTTCTTTTATATTTTTATTTATTTTATTGTATGTCATAAGCAGGATTATTCTACTAGGCATGTACTTTTATTTTTGTTCTACTAGGTATGTCATGTTACCAGTACATTAGAGACAAATACCCATGTCAATAAACATCTATAACATGAATGGAGTCGCAGTCTCTTTAAAAATGAGACAATATCTGTACTATATTTATTTATTTATCAAATTCATTTCCTCAATTATTTTCTGTTTTTAATTAAATTGCATATCATGTGTCACATTCAAAATTATTAGGCACAATTTAAATTTTAAAAAAAGTGGATCCTAAAATCATTCACACATAAGATAGAGTAAATCATGAAATTATTCACAGATAATATAAAAGTGGATCATGAAAACATCCACAAAACTTAAACTTCATCTTGAAGTTATTCATGTATATGTAAATCTTGAAAATATCTACATTCAATTATTTATTTATTTGTTCACTTATTCATCCTAAATTTAATTCTTTATTTTTAATTATGTGTTTATATATATAATTCATTTGGTTATCTATATCTATAAAATAAAAAAATAAATTTTTAAATTATCCATATAAAATACACAATAAATCCTTAAGTTATCTATTTAAAATATAAAAAAAAATCTTAAAAATATCAACAAAATATAAAGTGAATCTAAAAGTTATCTATATAAAGTTCATCCTAAAAATATTTATATTTTAATATTTACTTATTTACTCATTTATTCATACATTTATTCTACAATACAATTTTAATTAGTGTTATCTATGATTTTCACACCTTTTCTCTTTATTAATTTTTTATATTTTCTTTTATTATTTTGGCATTACTTTTTCCATCCAATAACTCCTTTTCTTACTTCTTTTTTTTTTAAGTAAAACTAACATATATATTTAATCCTTTAACTTTATATAAAATTTTATTTTAATCCCTTAATTATATAAAATATCTTTTTAATTCTTTAATCTTAATATTGTTAATCTTATCCCAACAAATTTTTACCTTAAACTTTCAAATATTAACAAAATATTTTTAAATGTTGACAAAAATATTAATTTAAAGACAAAAAATTACTTTGTTAAAAGATGAAATTAGTTAAAAATGCCTTGCTATGTTTTAAGGGAGGGAGTACATTTCATGTTGTAAGATATGATCCCTTGACCATCCACAGATGACGCGTTGCCGAAACTAACACATACCCAGAAAAACAATATTCAACTAACACAGTGACTGATAAATTAAACCGAGCAATCTACACAAGTTTCTTTCCATTAATAGAAAAGGAAAAACAAAAGCAAATTATCCTACTATTAATGGGGACAAAATTAATTCGACAAATATGGGGAAAATTAAATAAAAGAATGAGCGTCAGGACCAAAACAGAACTACAACTGTTCAAATATCTGACCTACGTCTTCAACATTAACAGAGCTGCCTTTATGAGGCGGCAGTTTCAATCTAGACTACAGAAACTATAAGAACCCTTTATGAGGTAGCAGTTTTGAACTAGTCTACAAAAACGTTATAAAATGCCTACAGTTCAAGGTCCTGGGGAAAAAAGGGTACGATAACATCAAACCGGATCAGGCAAACGTCACTGAAGTCACCCCTTGATTGCCTCAAGCAGCTGCCTGGATCAGCGGCCCATTGGGTCTGAAGCCACGACCCCTCCCACGATATCCTCCCCTGCCACGGCCTCGACCTACGAAAAGCAATTCAGTCACATGGAAAGACCATACACTGTCATTTAAAGTAAACTTCAACATACATAAAGCAACATTTAAAACAGAAAACATCTTGTGCTATTAATACATGTTACCCCATTACAAGAAACCAGACGCATCAGAAACCCAAACTACTTAAATCTGATGTATTAGTAGCCAATTCTGATATGTATTGAAATGCAAACGAGAGGCTGGAAGCAAGGTAGGAAGACGAACCACGGCCATGAAAAGGTGCATCTTGGCTGTACCCTCCATCTTGCTGCATGTCAACCAGGGAATCATTGTACCCACCCCTTCCTCGACCACGGAATCCACGCCCTCTTCCTCTACCCCTGCCCCTAACATTTCCCCTATTGCGATCCCAGCCTCCATCCTCATAATCAGTTGAAATAAAGCCATTCACTGAAAGAAAAAAGGTTCAGAGCCCCAAAAATAAATAAACACGATACACAGCTTACACCCTGCTATTACACGTTAATAGAACGTGTATACCTCTGGGCTTTCCCCTTCCCCTTCCACCACGACCACGAACACGTCCATTAGGTGAAGCCTCTGCTGAATACAAAAGTTAGGACCATACATATACATATGACATTTTGGGGGAATAAAATCACTTGCCATGTATTCCTACCTCCTTCATAATCATAATCAACAGATGTCTTCACCTGGTCTGCTGGCAACGGAGGTTGATACCTGAGAGCACAACAAATAATGAGTCTAACAAGCCGTCAAAGTTCACAAGAATACAATCTGTTCTCATTTCTTGAAACCAGCTGAACTGAGAAATTCAGCAAATATATCTTCTTAATTACATCAACAAAGCCAGAATTTCGGTTGTTTTCACTACTTGGGATTTGTAATTACTAGTTTTCTTTCATTAGTTATCTAATTGAATTCAATTCAATTCTATACAAAATTTAAAACATTAAACTCAGCGAGTAAAAGTAAGAACCTCAAGGAGGATAGGATATCAAACACAAAAACTTTTTGATACGTTCATACCATATTCTTCGATAGAAAATTCCTTTATTTTCTGATTGCATTTTCTCAAACATAGATTCACAGCATTAAAAAGCCCGCACCAATCAACACTGCATGGCTGTTACAAGTATATCAAGACAAGGTTGTCTTAAGCTTAGGAAAGCCATGAATACCAGGCCAATAAATCATAAGTCACAAGTAATAGGGATCATTCGCCTTAGCAGATTATAATTTAGACTATTAGCCATTCACTTGAAAACAAGATAAGTATTTATCACTTGTTAACCGCTATTCTTGGCCGTCTTATAGGATTAATATTGTTTAATGCTTAATTTATACGTAATATAACATCAAAACAATTCATGGTTTTTTCTTATATATATATATATATATCCCTTTATTAAAAAATGTAGCGTATTTTTAACTGAATCTTATCTCCCAATAAAGTAATTATCTACTTTCAAACTAACCCTATCTTTTTATATTTACTTCTATTAAATACCCTATGATAAATATAAAATCACTATCAATAGGGACATTTTTTTTCCAAAAAGCAATAATTACACCTTGAAAGATTAAAAACGCTTTACATTTTTTAACATTCAACTCCTCAAAAAATGCCTTACATTTTTTAATAGAGGGAGTATATAATTTCCAGCTTTTTAACTAGTAATTTAACCCAAAGGGCTTTCAATTCTAATCCATTTAAAATACATAGATCAAAGTAACGAAACATATAGAATAGCACATTTTGAATTTCACCGAGCACCCAACACAATATTAGAAGAAAAACATACAATATCACAAACTAGAAAGACTAGAGACCAGAGAGAACAATTTTTTTGTGTTATGAAACTAGCAAGGATAAAGCCTAAACTTACCCCACAGAAGATGTATCAAGTTCCTCCTTGGAAAGGGTTATTGTAATCATTGACACATGCCTTGTTGTCTCCAAACTGCAAGACCGAAAAAAATAGCACATCAGAAGATGGCGATAGCTGCCAACGTGATTGGGATATTGCCCGTTCTGACAAGCAGCTAAAAATACTATTCAGAAACAGATATTACGGAAGCAAGCCTTCCTCTAGTGGCTCCCATGTATCAGTGATGTCAGTGGATCCAATTGCTGTATTCTGATGAAGACCCACGATTCTCCTCTGCATAGCCACAAAAATAAATAAAGTTTCCATAATGATGAGACAAAGTACCAAGATTGTGTGCTTAGCGGATGATAAAGCCAGACAAACCTTGATCAATTCAACAATTGTTACAGTTTTGTTGATGGCTCTCCCCATGGCCTTAAAAACAATTTCATTTGAACCTTTTTCCTGCAAACAAAGGAAAAAAAAAAGATTTGCAATTTAACACCAAGAATGCAGAATGTCAGAATTCATCAAATCATAGGAGCACAAACATTTTAAAAACCAGTCAGAGCGGTGGGATAAGGGCCACAAAAGGTAGTCCAATCCCTTGATTCCCTCCCTTCCAATGTTTTGATATTCTTTTCAACCATGAAACATGGAATGAACTCGCCGTAGTCTAGACATTTTATGACAAAGAAAGAGGGGGGGAAGTCTTCAAAAAGAATATAACTTCAGATTGGTCATAGTTATATTTGTCATATATACTCGGAGAGTGAACCAGAAAAAATAGTACGAGGCAAAATGTTCTAAATAATCTTTTCGAGATGAAGGAAACTACACAAATTCCCCTGACTAACGCTACATTCGGTACTAATCGAGTCCCACCTCTGATTTTTTATTTTTCTAAAAACAGGAATCGCTACATCTAAACAACTAAACTGGCGTAGGTCCATGAACAATATATGAAGGCTAAGCAACATCAAAACACAACTCATCCCCGAACCCCCATCGGGCTGAAAAACCTCCAAAAACAAGAGCTTCCACAAACCAAAGTTTCTCATATAGAAAGATGGCTCCAATCTCGGGATATAGCTGAACAGCAAACGAAGATTTAAATTTGAAAATTACAATAGGCTTTGGCCTTTGCCGAAGAATCATATTGAGAACTTGCACTTATTATTTACTCGCAAGAATTCAAACAGTTAAACTCGGAGGTGCTACATTACTTCAAATAAATAAAGCTCCGGAAGCTCACTCCGCAAAAGAGCTTACTCCGGACAACAAGATACAAGGGGGGAAATATAAATAAAGGAGTTACTGATGCTAGAAAAAGGCAAAAGAGCAAATACCTGAATCAGGCTCATGGCGTAGGTAATATAGTTACGCATCCTTCCCTGACTGGTAATCCGAATCTCGTTTTCATCAATTGGCGTCTCTGTTCTTGGCTTCTCGACCTTCTGGTACCGATCCATCTGAACCAACACCATCACAGGTAAGACTCCGCTAAAAAAAAAAAAAACGATGCAAGGAGACAAGAAGCGACTGCCAAAGCTCGTGGAGATATCTAGTAGATTTTAAGATTTCGATCTGAGTCGTACCGTGATTCTAAACGATAGATTTTGCAGCAGAACGAAAGAGCCCTCTTCTACGGCTTCGTGTCTTCTATTACGCCCTAATTTGTTCACAGTGACGCCTTTCGCCTTATATACCCCCAGCACCCCACAAACTGCCCTAACCAACTCCTATATCGATTCGATCAGTTGTCTATCGAAATGGGCTGGGCCCGATCATTACTAGTTTTGTATGGGGCCTTTGACTTACACTTCTGTCCCCAGACATCAAAAACAAAGAGAAGAACCTTGCAATCATTGACCATTCGCAGAGTCTGTTATTGCTTCGGCCCAAAAGCAAAGGGCCAATAAAGAGCCCTCAGAGTCTCGGTTTTGGAACCTCTATCTTTTTAAACAAAGCCTGAATTGGATTGTTCAACTTACACCAACAAAAAACTAGAAACGAAGTTAACTAAAAAACCACCAAAAAAACAAAACAGTTACAACCCAAAACTTAAAAAATAAATGGTTATTCAAAAAGTGTAAAATCACAAGGAATATTATGAGCCAACTTCATCAAAAAGTCGACCATTCTATTCTCCTCACGGCAGCACAATCCTCTTTATAACATGTAGCACAGTCCTCCTACTTTCTATAGAAAACACTAACCATTGAAATCGTTTTTATTCTATTATTTTTAAAATTGGTATTTCATATAACATGTTCTAGCAATGGAAAAATAAAAACTTGTTTACATAATTGTTATGCAAAATTATATATTAAAACTAAAAAATATAGACAAAATTAACACAATGGCCCCAGAAATTCTGGACGAGGTTTATAAGAATTTGGAATGCGGTCCTTCACAAATTTAATTAGAATGTGATATTCCTTCTTTGCCTAACAGAAACTCCCCTAAACAAATACAAAATTTTCGACATCATGTAGCCAAAATAAAGAAAAAAAAAATATTCTACATAAATGGTCCATGATTTAGAATTCTGTATCATATGCACCTAACAATTTAAAATAAAATAAAAGATTCTTTTAGATAACAATAACAAATAAAAAAAAATAGAATTTCACATGGCCCGAAAATTGTTGTTTATGATTTGGTTGATGTTGGCTTGGCTTCTTATTTTTTGAAGTAAAACACTAGGTTGGGATCTATAATTTGTTATTGAATCTTCACCATTTTCATGTCTTTTGGTAGCATCAAATTTTTTATTGACTATGTTTGATCAATTTTGGGTAAATAATAATGTATTTTGTGTGTTAATATTTTGCGACACTACATCATTGATATATAGTTGTATATAAATTATAAATAAATTGATAAGTTTCTATTGATATGACTTATATATTAGTGATATATAATAGTATATCACTAACATACTATCACAAATCAATATGATTAAACAATCATGCATAAATTCATTTATTATTGATATACAGCCGTATATCAATGATGTAATATCATAAATCAGTAAAATAAAAAACACATAATTATTGTTCAAAACGAATCAAATATAGTCAATCAAAAATTTTAAACTCTTAACTTATTACAAAAATCAAATACATAAATTAATAAAATAAAAGAGCATGAATCTGTAACTCTATTTCCTAATTAGCATGCTTCGTTCTATGAAATATTATCGATGTCTCTCACCTCGTGTTTGTCTCTTGCCATCGTGATTGTGACTCACTCACATTGCCATTCTTTCCTTCAACTTGGAGTTGTTTCTTCTGTCATAATCATAGTTTGCACTTATCTTTCTCGTTTGCTTGATTTCTTGCATTTTGTGCCTCTTCTAATATTTGCAAAAAGCATCGTGTTATAATCTAAAAAGAAAGTTTTATAAATTAAATATAAACTAAATATTAAAAGGGTTATTTTTAAAATTTAAAAAATGATAAGCTATTTCTTTTATTTGATCTTATGATATAAATTATGTGTGCAAAAGTTTCAAAAATATAAAAACTTGTTTGATAAATTGCGCTCAGAATATGCATTTGAGATCAGAAAAGAAAAAAACTTGTTTGATTAACATATTTTATTGAATTAACATTAGCATGATTTTTTATATTATTTAACATTACATTATTAATTATGAATTAATTTAATAATAATGTTTGAATAGAATCAACAAAAAGAAACAATAACATTGAAGATGACAATTATTATGTTTAAATTTTTCTGGGATGAAATTTTAGTTTTTTGTTTTAATTGTTTAACAATGAAGATAATAAAATTAACCAATTTAGAACAACTAAAATTATAATAAATAAAAGTGTTGGTGCACTGTGGCAAGGGAAATGGATGATTTATGTGGCCTCTACCACAACATAATCGCTCCAACAAGACCAACGAACAAGCGGCTGCCGCAGGTAGGAAACTAGTCGTGATTCACCGTGTTTGCAGAATGAAGCACTGTGAATGGAAAGTAAGGAATCAATCTTCAAGAAGAGGAGGTAAGAACTAAGGAGCATCATGTTCTTGAACTACTCCTGGAAATCAAGGCAACCGTCTGAGTTGGTGTCGAGTGCGTAAATCATGGCGGAGCAGTCCTCGGCACTTGGGTCGTCCCATAAATAGAGCCTCATTAGCACACACTCCAGGTCTGGGCTAATGATGAAGCCATCTCCATCCAACTCAAACACTATGAACGCCTTCACCAAGTCGCTCTCCAAGTCTGCCTCGGCTGCCGTCACCATCATCGATCATCAACTCTGTTATTGTTCTGTCTGGATATGGACTCCCAGCAGAGCATGTACAAGAATTCATTCAAGTCCAGCTTCTTTTTTTGGCTTGTCTGAGTGAATCTCATGACGAACAGCTAACAAAAGAAGAACGAAGAGCCAAAGGAAAAAATATAAAAATCCAACTGCGTTCTAGAAAAGACGACGATGGCAAGTCGGCAACTGGGTTCACGGGCACAGTCACGATGACAGCTGGGTTCACAAGCACGAACGCGAGCAGCTGGATTCACGACCTTGCAAGAATGAAAGAACAAGAACGGGAACACCGAAGGACGTAGCACGAAGAGGACGGCAAAGATGGGGAAAGTAAAGTTTAATCTATTTACGAAAATGCCATTAGTGAAAAGTGAGGTGTCCTGTTTCCGCTTCCAACAGTCCAACCTATTCACTTTTTTTTTTTTTTTTTATAGCATAAGATGGCAAGCAAAAGCTTGAGAGTTACAAGAAAAATACAAAAAAGGCTCTGAAAGCCATTACATCAAAATACTTGTTGCAAGTCTTCTTGGATTATACCGACACAACTGGTAGGTATGGTTTGTAGTAAAACTAAGTCACAAGGACTATCATGAGCCTCCTTGACTAGTGTATCAACACAGCGAAGTGCACCCCTTGAATTATGAAGAATTCTAATATCCCATTCACTAAAGAGTCAGTTTCTAGCCTCTTCAATCTCAATCCTAAGTGGATGGTCAGTCCTGGAGTCTTTGGATAAGCAATTGATAGCATAAATGGAATCAAAGTATAATTGAATCTTCTTGAAATGATGTTGATGACAAAGTTCCAAGCCTGATTTAATGGCAAGAATTTTAGCTGCAATTGTTGGAAAGGATCCAAGCTTTTACATGAGTCCCATAATCCATTGGCCTTTATCATTTCTAATGACACACCACAAGCAGCTTTGTTATTCTCACAAATAGATTCACCCACGTCAATTCTAATCGTATCAATGGGGGGAGGTTTCTAGATTGCCTCGATTTGAATTTGATTTGGGAAAAGTTGATGATGAAACTTGACTTGAGCAGTATCTTCCATCAGCTTGTGTATACCATCGTGAATGATCTCTTTTGGCCTTACATTATGTCCTTCAAATACTTGTTTGCATCTATGAGTCTATAGCAACCAACAAATATGATTAAAGGTTCTAAACCAATGCCATTTGTTGATTTTACTTCTCCTTGGGTTGTGTAATGAGTTTTATCTTAGCCATACCTACAAATTAGAAGAGAAAAATATAGGTATATGGTTAGAGGTAATCAATTCTTTCCATACTTGTTGAGCTGTAAGGCAATCACGAAGAAGATGAATAATACTTTCCTCACTATGACACTTAAAAGGACACTCAAAAGCATTTGAAAGACCTCTTTTCACTCTAAGTGAGTTAGTGAGAATTCTAATGTAATTTTAATGATTGGCTATGAGGGATAGACAGGATCCTCATGGCATGGTATTTAAATCAGGTCATGAATCAAGAGGGACAAACATAATCCTCTTGGTCATATAATTGTATTTATTAAAAAGGATTAGAGTTTACATATTGTCAAAATAAGAAATGTCCTAGGTTGACACAAGATACATTGCATAATATAAAATGAGAGGCAACGTAAAAGATAGTGTCTCATACACCAAAGTTACGCCTCTGGTGCTTTCTCGGCCGGACTCTCTCTTGTAAAAATATTAACCACAGGGAATGAGACTTAAAAGTCCCAGTAACCAAAAATTAATATGTAATGATGCATGCGGATATAACTAATCATGCGATTACTAAATGGGCACACAAAAACATTTAATCGAACAATATTTTCAAACAAACCGAACAAGTATTTAATTGCATGACTACACCTTATATCCTCCTTTCGCCATGCTCGGATGCCAAACTACCTGGCCAAAGGTGAGTTGGACCAAGCGACACGCCACTCATTGGGTCCAATAAGGGCTTACCACGTGGTAATAATTAACCAAACAGAAATTCTCATTAACACCATACATTAAAATACCCTGACAAGTCATGCATCATTCAAATATCCAAACAGAAATATATCTGAACAATAATATCTCATCATGATAAATAAAAATAAATTTTTAACCCACTTGGCAATAATTTCAAACAAGTATATAACAGTATTTATTTTCAATAATTTATAGTTTTTCCAAATAACAAGTCAACACATAACCATTCACAAACACACCCATCACAACACATTAATAATGGTTACCTTGTGTCTTGAATAACAAATTCCCCTTCACAACTCCTCTTTTACCCCTATTTTTGTCAATATAATCTATATAATTATTTCACAATACTATATATTAATTTTATATTAAAATTAATAAATAACTTTAAATTAAAGAGTTAGAAAGTCTTAGATTTAAAATTCATATTGACACTAATTTAAGAT